CTTAGACACGAAAGTGTACAAAGGTGACAGATTCAATAAGGAATCTACAGAAACCTTTCAATACTAGAATTTCTATTCGTGTCACCCACCAGGCGTCACGAAAAGCTTTATAAAAGGAGAAGCGTTAAGGCTTCTGAGAACAAATTCCTCTCAATTTACTTTTGAGGAAAACATGAGTAATTTAAAAACACGCCTGCAGAATAGAGATTACCCAGCTAGAATTGTAGGAAAACACCTTTCAGAGATTAAATTCTCTGATAGAGAAATGTCGCTAGCGCAGAAAAACAAAACCGCACCAAAGAATAAATTGCGCCAATTTATACCCCTTGCGCCAAATTATACCCCTGTTTAGAGCAGAGAGGACGAAACCCATACCCTACACCCTATACCCTATCCAGGGGCACATCCCCTTTTTTCACTAAAACACTCTCTCTGCCTCGTTCGGTCGTGATGTAACAATTGACTGAGTGTCGCCCTAGCCTTGTCGTGAGTAAGGCTTACCACCCACAGAATAGCCTGCGTGGCAGGCCTTTGAAAGGGAATGGAAAGGGGTTTTGGGCGCGAGGGAAACGCGACGGGCGCGCGAGGAGGGAGGGAGGGAGGGAGGGAGGGAAACGCCTGCCAGGAAACCATTGTTTTCGCCATCCCGCCTACTAATTATGTGTGCAAAAATAACGCAACTGTGAATGACTAGCTGTCAAATAAGTCTGGCCGCGATGCGCTTATTTAAGTCGTATTTCGCGTACTATTTTTCTTTTGTTTTCCTGAAACAAGAAATCTGAAGTGAAGGTCCTATTAACAATGTAGTCGTCCGTTGAAGAAAGAAAGTCCCAACCATGCGTGGCTTGTTATATAAATTCCAGCATAAATCTATTACGTTTTTGCTGAAGGTATCGTGTTGGACTTCCCAACTTGCATGTAATGTTTGTCGGAGAAATTAATTACAAACACTTTGCTGACTCTCGAACTGGATCCAGCGGAGCATACAAAAGAACGCTGGTAGCAGGGAAAGAAGAGCTGAACTTCAAAGATCTACAATAAGGCTAATTCTGCAATCAATATTATTATTAAAGTGAGTTCCTGCCGGCTTTATAACGTCTATAACCAGCAAAAAGAAGTCGTCAAACCAAAAATCGCTGAATTATAGATCACTTTGTCTTCAACAATCTGGTCGTTTAGAAGCGTAGCCTGCGTGGTAGGCGTTTGAGGTCAAACAGCAGATAACAAGCACACAGGCAGTATGATTTTTCCTTTCTTTCTTCTAGTGAGTAAAACAAGCCGTTGGGAGACAAGACTTCTCAAAACCAGTCGGCAAAACTCATTTAGCTGACAGGTCTTTTCCTTCATACGAGTCTTTTAACTGCTTTCTTCTTTTCTCCTTTCAAGCTGAAATAGATGCCTTCAGTTTCTAATCGTTCTTAAACGATGAATTCCATCCCGGGAATTCCATACAGAAATCTCATCGCGCCTCACTAACAACATATTTTTAAATGATTACTGAAAGATCAATTAAGTTACTCAGTAGCGTGATTTTGATTTCAGCCAATCGGATTAAGGTATAAAGGCTGTGATTGACGTGTTTTGAAGACGGACCAATCAGGATTTTAACATTCGCCTGGTGGATGTTAAAAACGAGAAAAACAATGGTCTCCTGGCAGGCGTTTCCCTCCCTCCCTCCTCGCGTTTCTCTCCCACCTGAAACTCCCTTTCCCTTCCCTTTCAAACGCCTGCCACGCAGGCTACCCACAGAACTGTCATGTGAATATCATCCATATCTGTCTCATTTTGGAAATCGAAAGTGTTATTTGAGAAATCAAACGCGACAAATTTCGGAAATCAAAAATGTCATTTGAGAAATCAAACGCAATAAATTTTGGAAATCAAAAGTGTTGTTTGAGAAATCAAACCCGATAAATTTTGGAAATCAAAAGAAGTGTCAGTTGACAAATCAAACGCCGGCGACAAACTTTGGAAATCAAACGCGTCAAATTTTGGAAATCAAAAATGCATTTGAGAAATCAAACGATTTGGAAATCAAAATTGTTATTAGAGAAATCAAACGCCACAAATTTAAAATCAAAATGACACAATAAAAACCAAAAGGATTTTAGTTTCCTTTTAATCATAGACAAGATACCAAAATCATAGAGGACAAGAAAAGAATCAGACATAGTAAATTTTATTTGTGATACTCCTCGAACACCGTAGTTTTTGTTTACATTCAAGTTCGAAGTTTTAATAATTTTGTAGTTAATATAATAAAAATATCAGTTAACAAACCAAAATGGATTGGTTTGTTAGCTAGGGCCTCCGGGCCTGCGGTTTCATTCTTTATATTTTAATTTGAATAATTGATAACGGGCTACAAAGTTACCGGGACTTTCGAGAAACGGGCCCCTGGCTTTGTCACTGAAAAATCGGGTCGAGCCACTTAATTAAACTTTTTTTGCTTTATTGTAACTAATTATAACCAGAGTATAGGATACATCTACAGTGACTACTGGCTTGGTTACGACCGATAGCATCAACCGTTAAAAATGGCAAACGTTTGCTCTGTCGCCTTTGGGGTAGGAGTAATATAGGCGGATTTCCAAGTTATAAGTATGTCCAAGATTCTAAAGTTTGGTTGACTTAAGGAAAGGAAATTTCTCTTTCGTAGGGATGGTATGGTATCAAATTGCAGTACTTGTAATCTACACCTGGTGGTGTCAGACTCTCTTTGCCTTTCAGGGTGGTACAGAAGGGTTTCTCGCCTTAAACAACGTAGAACTATTGACGGTTTTTTGCCGCCAGTTTAACGAGGATAACATTCAACACTGTACAGTAACACTGTTCTCCGGTTGTTTGCTCAAAATATCTTTCACGATCAGCAGTCCTAGGTTGCATTGTTAGTCCAATTAGAATTCTAAACTCACAATTAGAGCTTCCTTTTTATTCTCCCATTTTACAAACATTTTTTTGGCCATCGCGAGAAAGTGAATTATTATACGTATTTTTTCGGCAATTTTGGTGTTTAGGTGTGTTTACGTAATGTAGTGGGAGTGTGGTTAGCATACGAAAGGCCTGTTTGCGATTCTGGTCTTTGAATTTATTTGCTTTTAGTGGACACCCTTTAATNACTTACCACAAACCGGTTTACAGGTCGTACACTTCGCGGCCTTCTGATCCAGCTGCAAAATATCAGCTTGCGAAGTTCGGGCATGCGCAGAAAGCAAAATTTCGAGTTTTTGGTTTTAAAAGTGACACAGCAGTCTTGACTTTTACTTTTCGCTTTCTCTCCAGTCCTCCCCTCTTTTTTCGCTTTTCCTGCCTCATTTTTTTTTCTCTTGCTGGGCATTTAGTAGGCTTCATTTTGGTGGGAATAGTTCTTAGGAAAGCTTTTAGGATCTTAGGATTAGGTGAAAGGAAAGGCAGGTGGGCAATGGAACAAGATTTTCATGGAGATTTTCAGGTCAATGTTACATGGTTTTTTGCCTCTTTCTCCGGTGTCCTTGACTGAATTGTGCTCATTCTGGTATGGTTTGAAAGATCTCTTCACTCTACACAAACGTTAAAACTGATGACGTCACAAAGGGTAGAAAGGACCTGGATCCGCACGGGCGGTTACGGGCGGTTCAGGGGCGAATGGGTTAAAAAAGTGCGTCGTTTCTATTGATCACGTGGTCTGCGACAATATCCGTGCAAAAAAAGCCAGTGATCGAAGGTAAGCGAACAGTTTTTATATGTTATTTAGAGAACGATGTCTACTCGAATACTTATCCTTCGACAGTCCAAAAATAATTTGACTTGAAGGCCTCATACGGTATTTCTCAACGGGCAACGACTGCAACGACCAGTAGTCGAATATTTCGTTGTCAGGCGAAGGCATCGTGCGACTGATTGAAATTTTACAGATTTTAGCGTCAATCCTTCTCTTTCTTTCTGTTTCACCCGTAATATACTAGGTAATCGCTGTATCATTTCCGTAAACGTATTTTCGATACACGTTTTGTCGTAGCTAACTCTTAGAAAGACCAGTGATATTCCGAGTTGCAACGCAAGAACACTTTCGAAACTCCTTGAATTTTATTGAAGTTGGCTATCGCTTGGTTTGCTGAAGGGAGTGTTGACACTTCTAAAACTGAACGAAGGGACGTTTCATGGGGTTTATTAGGCATTTTTTGGTAAGAATATGGCAAATTGTATTCCAATACCTTTTCCAAAGATCCATCTATTTCCTCAGGTGAGCGTGAGCTAAGACGAAATCAAATGAGGCACAATAAGTTCAGAACTCTATGTACTAGTTGGGTCGGTCGTCGTAGACGTGACACTTAAGTTAGGATGTTATGCCAGACGGCGACGCTAAGGAAACTATAGGTTTGATATGCAAATCAACACATTTCTTTGCCATCAGTCTAAGGCGAGGACGTGAAACTTTCCGGTTGAATGTTTATGAAGAACGCAATTCAGGGCGAACGAATTTTACTTCCTTCTTCTGACGTCTGGTTTACTATTGAGAAGTAAGATTCGCGACGAATCTTGATCATTTTGGTATCGGATTCGTTTTGTCTACTCAAAGATGCGCGAATCCGGAAAAATCACGTCCCAGTTTGGTCGCGTGTCTACAACTAGTGGATCTGTAGTCTGAGAATAATTTGTTTCGAATGTATGCTCTCGGACTAACGGATTAACGCTAAGTCTAATATATCCGGAAAGTGGTTTCATTTATCACTCCGGAAAAATCTTCTCTACTGTAAACCTAACCTGCCTGCATTGGCCGTAATCATACTGAACATTGGGAATGTTTGGTGAACTAAGATCTGGAATTACTATTTGTCTCCCCACAGATTTTCAACGTTTTTCCTTGTGGCGCCGAACCATTCACCATGAATCGTATAAGACTGCGTTGGCTTCTTAACCGTGCGGCCTTCATAATGTCCATCTTTTTAATCGTACTGATCTGTGGGACGTATTTCTGGTTTTCTGGGAAGTGCATTCCTAAGACCGATACGAACAAGCTCACTAACGATTTAAAGCGTTTAGTGAAAGAACTCTCTGAGACAAGAAGAGATTTAAATAGAGATTTACTGCATTATCATCGCATTGGACAACATATTGAGTCCTTAAGTACTATCATCATATCCTTAGGAGGATCTCCTGCGGGTTTATTTTCCTCGGAGAACGCTCCCCCTAAGAAGGAAGTTTGCCCTGAAAAATTTATGGGATATAGTTGGCCTTTCTTTAGAAAAGGTTTCAAGCGAGTCAACTGCACAGAGTTTGTTCCTCTTAACCAGCTTATCACGCTTCTTGTTGTTCTACCACACGAGCTGTCAGCTAAAGAGCAGCTTAATTTTTTTCGAAGCCTGCAGAGGTACCATCCACAAATAAATACTGTACTCGCATCTAAAGAAGAACTTCAACTAGAAACTATAAGAAAGCTTGAGCTGAACTTCAAGAATATGGTTTTTAAGGATCTCTATTGTGGTAAGACTTGGAACTCGTTATTACAGGAAGTGACCACGCCCTACGTGCTTCTAGCTCCGGATGCAACTCACTTTAACGATGATATTGACCTTGAGCGTCTCCTCCGTGTACTTAGTGAGAACGAAGATGCTATCATTGCCGGGGGGAGTCACCGAAATCAAGAGGGGGAGTGGGACATTGGTTGTCTTCAAGTGACATTTAAAAACTGGACTGCTTATTTTAGGGGCGGTTATTACCAGTCATACCGTAACGAGTGCATTGTATGTGATGTGCTGTCCGGTCCATTTATGGCCTCAACTGAGAACCTGAAGGAGATTGGAATCGACAAAAAGTAAGTAATGTCAACTGAACAGTATAATCACTACCTAGATAAAACTCAAAATAATTTTGCAATTATCTAACCGCGATCAAGGCAGGCAACCTAAGTAATTAAGAAAAGACTGGCAGATTCAGCCGAGCCTAACAGCGGAGCTCCCATTAAATATCAACCGTCTACTTAAAGCAATAAACTTCAAGTTATCGCAAAGAAATTCACAAATGTAATCTCTTTAACTTAGTATTTCTACAACATTATCAACGACTTCAGCTTGAGCCTGTGGCTGAATTAATTAACAATTAATTAATGAGGCTGAGCATCTTATGAAGAATTATGGAGATCGAGTAGGGTGTTAACACCCTCCGAGATCTCCATAATTCTTCATATGATACGAAAGCCGAATTCAATAATTGTTTTATTATTCATTCAAAATAATTCCTAGTTAAAAAACAAAGCTAAAACATGGACCTCCATCGATGTTAAGTTCACCTTCGATACTGCACGTTTAGGGTCGTTCAGCTCCGCAAATATTCTCCAAATAGCAGATGTCGCCCTTCGAGTTGTGTTCTTGCTGTTCTTGCCATGCTTTTAGCTATAATTTCGCCTAGTTCTTACTCTTGAAACGAGTGAAATGTCCGCCATTTTTTGTTTTCACAACCAAAACAACTCAACCTCGTCCCCAGGTTGTCTCGGTTAACAGTGCATTAACCCGCGAGAACACTGCATTTTTGAGGTCATTTCCTCGTTAAACACAAAATTCTTCCAAATTTGGTCATCAGTACTGGTTATGGTGAATTATGCGTGTGCTTTTAGCCAATCAGAATCGGGGAAATATTTTGAATGAATAATAACGTAAGATAAGAGGGCTCTTAACTTCTGTTCTGGAACAATAACCTATTGTTTTGAAATAAAAGTTACGAGTTCCCTTAATCTTAAAATGTTTTTTGCAGCCCGACCCTGAACTTGTAAAAATATTACGTGATATTGATTAGGTGTCAATTGAATATGATATGGGCTGCGTATATCACTTTCTCAACGGCTAACGATGGCTTCGTCTGAATTTTATGTGTCTGGGTAAGCTTGACTTCTTACATTGGTTTCTGACCGCGGGCGGACGTACGGCCGAACGAACTTCAATTTGGAAAGAAAGGACAGTGGATAATAAATCAATGCCTCAGCTTAACGTTTCCGTAGTCACTGTCGCCTTGCAACCAAACCTTCTTAGGCAAAACATACATTCAATCTTTCCTTACCCTCTTATTTTTAAAGGACATATGTTTCCCCTGCGAATGCACGTTTTTCTTGTTTCATTTCATTATTTCCCTACGATTTAAGGACACAACGGATACGGTCAAGCCCTTGTGTCCTGCCAAATTTACGATATGATTTTCACAGTGTCACGCAACCAAAAATAAAAATCAAAACCATTCAATATAGATAAAGTGAAGAATCTGGGAAATCATGAAATTCGAAAGGAGGTATGCATTTCGCTGCGACAGATCAAAGTGACTATAAGGAGCTTTAGCAAGGACGAGGGCGACGGCAGCGGGAACGTCAAAAAAAGCAATAGGTTTTATTTGCAAAACAACAACTTTGCACTTGCATCACGTTTTTTTTCTACATGTCTTTGCCGTCACTACAAGTTACTCGAGAATTTCCAAGAAGTTTCCCGTAATTTCTCAAAAAGGTGAGTTGCTCAACAGTTACTCAAAAAACAAAAAACTTTTCCTAATCTGATGCTAAAATATGGAAATTGTACAACAAAAGTAAGATTTCTGAGCATTTTTGTGCAATTTTGCGGCGTAACCAGTGCTGCTAAATGACTTGACTCTCACTTAAAACCAAAAAATGTAATGAGCCAATAAAGTTGTTGAATGCCCTTCACCCGACACGCTCAAGTCAGTCGAGTGTGAATCTTTCGTCCACCATTTTGAATTTTCTCTAATATATAGATTTAGCCACGGCTAAAAGCGAAGCCCCCATTGATAAATGTATAACTTAAATCAAACAATAGTTTTGTATTCCACAAATCAGTTAACTTAAGGGCACATTCATGTGACTTTTGAGGGAAA